CTCACCGGGTTCGGGTTCTTGGTGAACTGGAGGAAGTCCCATCTGGTTCCCTCCCAGGTTAGGACATGACTGGGCCTTGTGTGGGACTCTCGGACCACTTCCTTGTCCCTTCCTCCGGAGTCTCTCCTGAGGCTGCGGTCCTGCATGCGCCTGTTTCTGGGGGTCTCCCGGGTCACCCAGCGGAACCTGAACTTTGCAATGCTGGTCTACCCGCCGGGTTGGGTTTGACTTCGTCGGTTGTTCTGGTTCCTTCGGGGACGTCCCTTCCGCCTCTTTCGCAATCGCTGGGTTCGTACCCTGAGGGCCTTGCGTCGGTTGCTGCATCGCCGGCTTCCTCTTCTGGTTTTTCAGGGTTCAGTGCCTTGACGCCTATCCGAGCCCTTGCTCGATGTATTCACAAACGCGTCGTCTTTCGGCTGGGGCTTTGTAACCAGTGCTCACCAGGCTGGCCAAGGACTGTGCGGTCCGTCTTTCCGTCGAGTCCACAGCACTGTGCGGGAATTCGCGGCGGTGTGGTTTGCTCTTCGGAGGCTTCAGGTCGCCCGTGGGTTGACGATCCGGCTCCATTCGGACTTCTCCCCGGTGGTTCATTGTCTGAACCAGGGGGGTTCGATGCAGTCCTTGGCTCTTTGGCGCTGGTCGCTTCGGGTGACTCATCTGCTGAGTTCTCGGGGTTTGGCTCTCCTGGCAGTTCACGTGCGGGGAGTATCCAACATCTTGGCCGATGGCCTGTCTCGTTTCGTTCCCCTCTCCACGGAATGGACAGACGACGCCGACTCCAAAATCAAGATGCAAAATCAAGATAAAAAACCACATCTAGTATCGGGCCCCTGCGAAAGGGAGATGGAACTTTCACAGATGACAACAAAGAAATGAGCGAGTTACTGAGGAAGCAGTACGACTCTGTTTTCAGCGAGCCACTAAACACACTAAAGATTCATAACCCAAATGAATTTTTCATGGATATGATACCAACATCAAATCATATATCAGACGTCACCCTATCCCCCGGTCGCCGGGGGATAGGGTGACGAGCCGGTCGGCCGAGCGGACAGCACGCTGGACTTGTGATCCTGTGGTCCTGGGTTCGATCCCAGGCGCTGGCGAGAATCACTGGGCAGAGTTTCTTTCACCCTATGCCCCTGTTACCTAGCAGTAAAATAGGTACCTGGGTGTTAGTCAGTTGTCACGGGCTGCTTCCTGGGGGTGGAGGCCTGGTCGAGGACCGGGCCGCGGGACACTAAAAAGCCCCGAAATCATCTCAAGATAACCTTAAGATAACCTCCCCACTGGATTTTGAAGAAGCCATAAACAGTATGCCTATGCACTCTGTACTAGGCCCGGATTCTTGGAACTCCATATTCATCAAGAACTGTAAAAAACCACTACCGCAGGCCCTTCACATTCTGTGGAGACAAAGCCTAGATACTGGCATTATCCCTGACATACTAAAAACAGCAGAGATAGCACCACTCCATAAAGGAGGAAATAAAGCAGAGGCAAAAAATTACAAACCGATAGCACTAACATCGCGCATCATAAAAATTTTTGAGAGAGTGCTAAGAAGTAAGATCACAAAATACATGGAATCACAGCATCTCCATAACCCCGGAAAACATGGTTTCAGAACAGGGCGTTCTTGCCTGTCGCAGTTGCTGGACCACTATGGTATGGCATTAGATGCTATGGAAGACAAACAAAACGCTGATGTAATTTACACAGATTTTGCAAAAGTCTTTGATAAATGTGACCATGGTGTTATTGCACATAAAATACGTTCAAAAGGAATTACCGGAAAAATAGGCAGATGGCTCTACAATTTCCTGACTAACAGAACCCAATGGGTAATAGTCAACAAAATAAAATCCAGCCTATCAACCATGAAAAGCTCAGTCCCCCAGGGTACTGTGCTTGCTCCAGTACTTTTTCTCATCCTCATATCGGACATAGACAAGAACACAACCTATAGCGCTGTATCATCTTTTGTAGATGACACTAGAATCTTCATGAGAGTAGGCAACGTAGAGGACATGGCAAACCTCCAATCAGATGTAGATCAGGTCTTTCTATGGGCTACAGAAAATAATATGGTGTTTAACGAAGATAAGTTCCAGCTCATACGCTACAGAAAAAATGAAAATATAAAAACAGAAACCACGTACAAAATTCAGGCAAACCATAACATAGAACGAAAAGGCAATGTAAAGGCTCTGGGTGTACTCATGTCGGAAGACCTTACCTTTAAAGAACACAATAAAGTAGCCGTCACAACTGCAAGAAAAATGACAGGTTGGATAACAAGAACTTTTCACACTAGAGATGCTGTACCGATGATGATACTTTTCAAAACGTTTGTGCTCTCTAGAGTGGAGTACTACTGCACAATGACATCCCCTTTCAAAACTGGAGAAATTGCTGACCTGGAGAGTGTGCAGAGATCCTTTACTGCTAGAATCCACTCAGTAAAACATCTAAACTACTGGGACCGACTAAAGAGTCTAAATCTGTATTCCCTTGAGCGCAAGCGGGAGAGATACATAATAATCTATACGTGGAAAAGAATTGAGAGGCTGGTCCCTAACCTGCACACAGAAATAACATCACATGAGACCAGAAGGCATGGCAGGATGTGCAGAATACCCCCGTTGAAAAGCAGAGGTGCAACAGGTACTCTGAGAGAGAACTCTATCAACATCAGAGGCTCGAGACTGTTCAACACGCTTCCACTACACATAAGGGGCATAACTGGCAGACCCCTCACAGTGTTCAAGAGAGAACTTGACAAACACCTCCAAAGAATACCTGATCAACCAGGCTGTGACTCATACGTCAGGCTGCGAGCAGCCGCGTCCAACAGCCTGGTTGATCAGTCCAGCAACCAGGAGGCCTGGTCGACGACCGGGCCGCGGGGACGCTAAGCCCCGGAAGCACCTCAAGATAACCTCCTTCCGTTGGCTTTGCCAGACGTTCGGACGCCCTGAGGTGGACCTCTTCGCGGCGCCTTCCCCAATATGTAGTGCCCTTCCCCGACTGCGAGGCCGTCGGGGTTGATGCCTTCCGGCAGGACTGGTTGAGATGGGGGTTCCTTTACCTCTTTCCCCCCGGTTCCGCTGTTGCTCCGCGTCCTGACTCGCTTGGAGACTTACCAGGGGAGACTTGTCCCCTTGGCCCCTTGGTGGCCGGCCCAGCTGTGGCTTCAGGCGCTGCTTGCTCGGTGTTCGAACCCGGAGGTTTTCCTGCGGCTCTGCCTCTTCCAGCATGTCAGACCGGTGCATCACGTGGCTGGTTCGATCTTCTCCAAGTCTTCGCGTATGGTATTTTTGACTCGAGTTTATCATGATCTCTTTGGTGATCAGGTGGCTTTCTTGTTAGTGTCCCACCTGTAGGCTTTGTCTCGGCAGCAGTATGAGGTCCTGGCGGTTCTTCCAGTTCTTCTTGCGTCTTCATCGTTGTACTTCGCTTTCGGTTAGGGTGCTGGTGTCCTTTCTCTCATGGTTGTTCCAGGATCGTCTCCTTATGCCTAACACTGTCGCCTCGTATCACGCGATGCTGGCGGAGCAGTTTCAGCTTGCTTTCGGTATGAATGTTTTGTCTGCGCTGTTTCGCAAGTTGTCTCGGGCGTTGTCTCACCTCCGGCCTGCTCATGTGCCGCCTGAGCCATCCTGGTCTTTGGACAGAGTGCTCTCTTATCTATCTTCTCCTCGGTTTGGTGTGATCCTTTCGGTTCCGGATTGTTTTTCGAAGGCTCTTTTCCTGTTGGCATTAGCCTCTGGGGATCGGATTGGTGAACTTCATGCTCTCCTCCAGCGCAGGGGTTTCTGCTCTTTCAGTCGGGGCAATCTGTTTGTTCGTCTGCAGCCTTCTCTTTCTTTTCTGGTGAAGAATGAGACTGCTGCTTTCCGGAGTGGTCCCTGGGTTGTTGATGCTTGATTGGTTAGGCCGGGGGTGCATCATGTTTTGTGTCCAGTTGCAGCTCTCTGCCGTTATTTGCGCACCATGGCTTCTGTGTCCATGGATGCGCTTTGGGTTGATCCGGTTTCCCTTCCCTGTTCGTGGGTGCGGGTCTCCCAGGTCGTCTGTAGGGTTATTAAGGCTAGCCAGCCAGTGGTCTATCTCCGTGCTCATAATGTTCGCAAGTTTGCGGCTCTTGCCGCCGTCTTTGGCAATATGTCTTAGACTGACATTCGGGCGTGGAGATTTTGGCGGTTGAGCAGGGTCCTGGCTGCTCGTTACCTTGTTAATGTCCCTGGGTCCAGTCGGGCCTGTGTCGCTTTGGGTCGGTAGCTGTAGCCAGTTGTCTTGACTTCGGGTTGAGGAGTGAGCAGCAACCGCCTCCCGGGGTAAGTCCCTCTTATTTTCCTGTGTGGGTAGTTAGCTCCAGGGAGCTGTAGGGGTTTCCCCCAGAAAACCAGCGTTGAATGTAATGAAACGCCATTTTCTGGGTGAGACCCGGAGGCTCCCCGGCATCTCTCCCTCCCTCCGGTCGGTGTTTTGACATTCAGCCTCAGAACTGGGGTGTGGATCGCCAGCGCGGTAGGTCTGGGGCTCCTCCTTCCCCCTCCCGGGGAGGGGGGAGCTGCGCAGACAACGGTGCGGCAACGGGTGATGTCATACTAGTTTGCTCGTTTTTGTTTGTGGAGTTTTATCCATTTGTTTGGCTTTTGATAGCAATATTTTCACCAGAATAGGGGTTTGTTTTGGGATGCTTACCTTTCTGGGTGCCTGACCCAGTCGATGGCAGACATAGAATGCTTCCAATCACATGGGGGCTTCTATTGGACATTGCTTCCCTTGCCTCTCTGAGGGGGGACAGGTTCTGGCCATGGTCCCCAGTAGGCCCAAAGAACTCCATACACATGACTGATGCCAAAGTCTGACATTATCATATCAACCTGGATAGCTCCAGGGAGCCTCCGGGTCTCATCCAGAAAATGTTGTTTCATTACATTCAACGCTGGTTTTTTACATTTATCACTAAACACTTTACATTCCATTTTAAGGTGGATAACTTAGCTACTAATGGAGACGTTACAGATGACATGTCCCTTCGAAACTTGTGGACATGGTTGGATGCAGCCAGAAGTTTAGTCTTGGCTGGCAATTTCAAATTACCTGGAGGAATGCCTTACAAATATCAAGGTGTTTGGTAGGTCTATAATGTATGTTATTCAAATTGTGCAATATATCACATGCATCATTAGACTTGCCAATTAGCACAGCTTTTGTAAACTGTCTTTCAATCCCATTTATGCTTCATCTTTGTTCCCTCCTTATTCCTTACTTATTAATAAGAACTCCTTTATTATCTACATGTAATTTTTTAATCTTTAAAACTTGTTTCTATTCATAGTCCTGGAGGACTATGAAATACTATCATAGTCATTATAGTATTTCTGTGGGGAGCCTTGTCAGCTCCCTGCTGTCACACACTGATTAAGTGCAATGTTACTAGATGTCATCAGTTGCAGAGTTCTACCTCGTGGTCCTACCACGGACCACGAGCCAGAACCTGGCCCCCTCAGAGAGGTGAAGGAAGCAATGGCCTATGAACACTTTATATATAAAGTTTATCATCTTTGCCACCAACTAAGGAAAGGCACCAAGAAAGGTAGGCAAATCAAAGCAAACTAATACATGGTTAAAATGAGACTGTAGCCCCAAAATTGCAAAAAGAACTCCTCTAACAATATAAACAATTAAACAAAAAGTTGAGAAATTAGCCTCACTTTAGTTTGTCCCCCACTTGCCCCACACCTGGGGGGGGGGGGGAACTGACCTTGGTCAGTTTTATACTGATGTCTGTGCATGGTAGTCAACGTCACTTTGGCTACAGTTTCCTGTTTTCGTTTGGTGTTTTTGCATTTGCAACTGTTTTCTTACACGGAGGTCTGCAGGAGTTTAGTGTATTGGAGTTGCATGTTCCCAGGGTTTCTTTCCCTGTGCACTCTGTAAGTACTACACTTGCGTGGTGAGGATTGCCATCCCTGGGGAGTTAGGGAAACAGTCCCTTTAGGAGGCTTCATTACTTGTGGTAGTACAGGGCACCTTCCTCACTAGTGCAGGGTTCCTGCCCTGCAGGTCCTGGAAAACCCTTACGGGCTTGGTTGTACAGTGGTACCTCGGAATACGAGTGTTCCTGTATACGAGTTTTTCGAAATACTGTAAGAGCAGGATTTCCTCTGAAAATGTGTCTCGGAAGGCGAGGGTTACCTCGGAAGGCGAGGGTTACCTCGGAAGGCGAGTTTGTTGATACGCGTACAGGCCAACCTAGCGCATGGTGGTACGGCGATCGTTGCCTCTCACCCCTCAGTTTACCAGTGCCTCGCACCCAGTGACTATCCCACGTCAATTCTTCACCCGGATTTTCAGTATTTTGTTGGATTTTTGGTCATTTGACCATAAAAGTTATTATATATTTCGCCATGGGTCCCAAGAAAGCCAGTGGTAAGGTTTAACCTAAGAAAATAGTGCGGCGTTTCGGGCGATCGAGTGGCAACACTGACAAGTGTATACTTTTTTCACTGTCCTGACATTAATTTTCGATTTACGTATTTCATTTTTGTACCAATGTGTTTGCAATAGAATGTTCTATAAGAACATAAGTATAAAATGTCACACAAGGATGCGTTAGACCGGCACCAAATAAAAAACTACATCGATTATACTTGTCGTGCCAACAATACAATGGTCTTACCTCGATGGTGCAATGCTATGCCGTTCTCCCAAATAGGCTATGCGGCTATTAGAGAAAACAGATATTTCAGGGCGGACACTTTCAAACTATCCCATAGTCGATCGCATAACAAATAGAGTTTATAGAAATATTTTTTCTCATGATTCGTGAGCGAGTCCGCTGTGCGACCTCAACACAAAAAGTGGAAACGCTCTTGAGCGCCGTGATAACGCTAAAGTGTTAAGAAAATGTGTGAAGTATGGGAAGAATTGCAAAGTTTTATTAAAAAAACTCGCCCAGATAAAGCTGTAGCAGGCCGTTGCATTGACCTTTTAAATGACAATGTGATGTCTTACTACAGACAAGTGTTAAAATGTAGGGAAAAACAAGTGTCTTTAGACAGATTCTTAGTAAGACAAGCAAGTCTTAGTGGTATGCAGGCAAAACGTGCCAGTGTGTGCACACCAGTGAAGTCCTCACTGCCTGATGTGATAATGGAAGGAGACTCCCCTTCCAAACAGTAACACCTCTTCTCCTCCCACCTCCTCACCATTTTCCATATGCCAACAGCAAGGTAAGTAATAACTTGAACATAGTTTTGTAGGTTTATTTAGATGAATTAGGTATAAAATTTAGTTTGAAGTGGGGTTTTTGGGGTAGTCAGGAACGGATTAATTCATTTCCCATTATTTCTTATGGGGAAATTAGCTTCGAAATACTGTACAAGTTTTCGGAATACGAGCTGTCTCCAGGAACGAATTAAACTCTTTAACCGAGGTACCACTGTACTATGGATACCTCTTCCGAGCCCGCTCTCAAATTGTGTGAATTTGAGGGGTGTTCATCACCTGTATCACCTGGGGACGTTCATACATTCTACCTCCGCCATGCTGCTTGCTGGGTCGGGGAAACTTTTGACCCCAAGTCATGTGGGACCCTCACCCCCCACATGAGCCCCAAATTACTAATTTTTCCATGGAAGTTCAGAGGTATCAAGCAACGTTCACTTTGCATCGCAGGTATTCAGTTTTGTAGCGGACCAGGTTGTGTGCTGGGTTGGATGTTCTAGATCTGCCCCGTTTGATGTTTAGAGATTAGGATTTGGGGATGTTGGTCGCATTAACTGTTTCAATCCAAACTTCCCCTTCCTTTCCCAGTGGGCAGGTCTCGCTATTCTCCATCTCCCCTGCTTCCAGCTCCATAGAATCTAAGGGTTTTGGACTTGGGGCAGGGTTTAGCTCAGGATATGGCTTGGGCAGTTCCGGAGTTTTGCCCCTTCCGATGCAGGCACGGAGGCAATGAGCGACTCTATCCCGCCGAAGCTTCTGGGTCCTCCTAGATGGCCTCTTCCTTTGAGGCTTTTCTATTGGACTTTGCTTTCCCTTCCCGGGCTGCGTGGATGAATGCTCTGTCTGAAGGCTCTTAGTTGTGGTTCCCAGGGTTCGAGGAGGGGGGGGTGGCAGGAGTCAAAATGTAGCTCATGGGCTCCATTTGTCCCTTTAAGCACCTTGTTCTGAGAAGGGTCTGTTGTTTCAGTGAAATTTTTTTTTTCCATTACCTGTGTGTTTGAGTTAAGCGCTGTTCCCTCCAAAGTGCACTTCCATGTTCCTTTGTGCACACCATACTCATCTTTCCGAAGGTTTCCCTCCTCTCGTGTCTTCCCTGTGGAGGCTAGAAAAGCCCCTTGGTGCTTACCTCTTGTGTGACCCAGTCTACGCCTCGATTATGGATCCAGGTCCTTTTGTGTTCACTTCGTCTGCTTATTATTAGCTGCATTACGAGGTTCCAAAGTCATCCTGGTTAGTGGAATGTCCATTGTTTTCTCTTGGAGCTTTAAGCACTTAACTGCGCCAACCGAGTATTCTCAGTTGGCGGGAAACTGCACCAACCGAGATAACTTACTTTGATTTTTCCATACCCATTCTAAATGTGTACTAGGTTGGTTGTGTACGAAATGAACTCTTAGGACCTCCAGTGAGAAGCATCCATCTTGGAAAAAATCCCAGAATGCCCTAGGGCTGCTGGCTGGGTTAGTACCGAGTGAGCAACCATGGGTGGCACAGGCGCCTCTGGCTCCCAAACACCTCTCTGACGTGGTGTTGAAAGATAACACTGTCGGTGAAATTCAAACCTTATTGTTTGAAGAACATAAGGGTCATAATATTGGTGAAGCTAGGTGCAATAAGGACCTAACACAAAGGTTGGATGCAAGTTGGATGCACAGCCCCTATGAAGACGATACAGCGAGCGTATCCAGTTGTAGCTCTGAGCGTCACCTTTACAATATGCAATCACAATTACATATTACAATTTACTGTAATATTACAATTACAATCCTATGCTATCTACAATTTATTTGGATGATACATAGATGAATCATTTTCTGCATTCAGTGATGATGCATCTGATACAAGTAGCATAGATGGACAGTGTTAGCGGCTTCCATTGTGGTGTTTTCCATAGATATTTTCAAGAATACTGTACCTGAATCTCTTCCTGACTGACGGACACTCTTTGAGGCTACCTGAATCTCTTTTTGACTGACGGACACTCGTTGAGGCAAGCTGAATCTCTTCCTGTGTGGGACCATACATAGCGATCTATTCAAGACTACCTTACAAATTGATCTTTTCCTATAATCTTTTTAATACTACCTTATGCTTTACAAGCTTGGCTACATACAACCTACAAGTACTAAAGCCAAGGGAGTACGTGAGTGCGGTATTTACAAGCACACAGAATGAAGAAACAGGAAGCGAAAATTTATTTGTGTAACAAACTAGGCTGTTGTAAGAATTATCCAGAGTGGTTTATCGACAAAAGAGAATGGGAAGCTGAGCCCGCATGGTGACCTGGGAACCTGACCCCCAGGGGAATTCGCGGTGGAAATAACCGACGCTTTGTTCATAAGCTGCGTATAATGAACCATCCTATAGTATTCAGTAATTTAGAGAAATTAGCCTTTATTCATTTTGCATTAAAATTGTATTGTATAATAGTACTGGATACAATATCAAGAGTATTCTAATTATTGAGTTTAAGTCACCATCAGTGATGTCACGAATCAGATCTAACTTGTAAGGCGGAGTGACCGGCGGTCATAGGTCATCAGGGTTGACAGGTCTACTATTTCTCAAAGTTTTAATAACCATTTTTGTGATCGGGAACAGCTCTGCCGTTAGAGGCTTGTGTAATTTAATTTCAGTAAAATAATTCAACCAGTCTGGATCAATTAAGTACAACAGAGGTTAATTGTTATAACTTAAACCGGGCTAGTAACTTGGTAAAACTTTGACTAGAATACACTTCCGAAATACTGAGTGTGTAATACAGTACAGTGTGTTACTGTGTAAATAGTGTGTGAAACTGTACATATTGTAATTTTAGTGAATTTTTAACAAGTAATAATGCGACAATAAACATTTATTTTGGACACATTACTGACAAATGTATCACAGTTCCATGGAACATTATGAACGTTCTACTGTATACATATTGTAAAGGACAATTATGCATCATATTTGTCTTCCATAGTCTTCCAACGAAGTGAGGTTTAATTCCCATAGTCTCTCCTCGTAACTCATACCTCTCAGCTCGGGTACTAGTCTGGTGGCAAACCTTTGAACCTTTTCCAGTTTAGTCTTATGCTTGACTAGATATGGACTCCATGCTGGAGCCGCATACTCCAGGATTGGTCTGACATATGTGGTATATAATGTTCTGAAAGATTCCTTACACAAGTTTCTAAAGGCTGTTCTTATGTTAGCCAACCTGGCATATGCTGCTGATGTTATCCTCTTGATATGAGCTTCAGGGGACAGGTCTGGCGTGATATCAACCCCCAGGTCTTTCTCTCTCTGACTCTTGAAGTATTTCATCTCCCAAATGGTACCTTGTATCTGGTCTCCTGCTTCCTACCCCTATCTTCATTACATTACATTTGCTTGGGTTAAACTCTAACAGCCATTTGTTCGACCATTCCTGCAGCTTGTCCAGGTCTTCTTGAAGCCTCAAGCTGTCCTCCTCCTGTCTTAATCCTTCTCATAATTTTGGCGGCGTCAGCAAACATTGAGAGGAATGAGTCTATACCCTCTGGGAGATCATTTACGTATATCAGAAACAGGATAGGTCCAATTATTATGAATTAGTATGTATGTATGTATGTATGGGCCAATAGGCCCTCTGCAGTTACTTCCATTCTTATGTTCTCATATCCAATTTATACTCATTGTTTCGTGTTTTGTCTTGTGTTTGTCACAAGTTTATTCACCTCACCCAAAACTGTTGTACCATATCACCTGACGGCCAAGACCGTCAGTAGTTTCAAAGCGTTATATGACAAAGAGTGCTGGGAAGACGGGACACCACGAGCGTAGCTCTCATCCTGTAACTACACTTAGGTAATTACCTCACCCTTATGCGAGTATAAGTATGGACGTATTTTACGTGTTTAAAGGTTACAGTTGTGTGTGTTAACGAAAGTCTTTGAAAATGTAATAAGTTATTATGAAACACGTTCAGGCGTCGCATCAGACTAGAAATAAAAATGAATTTTGGAGAATTGATTTTTCAATTACCATCGACAGTGAAAAGAAACATAAGAAATATTGAAAAATTTTGTGTTAGAATCATTAATCTTACCTTTTTGGTCATATTTAACTAAAATAAATGAATAAATATATATATATATATATATATATATATATATATATATATATATATATATATATATATATATATATATATATATATATATATATATATATATATATATATATATATATATATATATAGAGGGGTATAGAGGGGCAAATTGTATATATATATATATATATATATATATATATATATATATATATATATATATATATATATATATATATATATATATATATATATATATATATATATATATATATATATATATATATATATATATATATATATATATATATATATATATATATATAGAGGGGTATAGAGGGGCAAATTGTGTATATATATATATATATATATATATATATATATATATATATATATATATATATATATATATATATATATATATATATATATATATATATATATATATATATATATATATATATATATATATATATATATATATATATATATATATATATATATATATATATATATATATATATATATATATATATATATATATATATATATATATATATATATATATATATATATATATATATATATATATATATATATATATATATATATATATATATATATATATATATATATATATATATATACATACATACATACATACATACATATACACAGGCATACCTCAGAATAAGAGTTTAATCCGTTCCTGGAGACGCCTCGCCTTCCGAAAACTCGCATTCCGAAGTTAATTTCCCCATAAGAAATAAAGGGAAATGAATTAATCCGTTCCTGACTACCCCAAAAACCCCACATCAAACTAAATTTTTATACCTAATTTACCTAATTCATCTAAATAAACCTACAAAACTGTGTTCCAGTTATTACTTACCTTGCTGTCGAGTGCTGTAGGCGTATGGAAGATGGTGAGGAGGGGGGAGGAGGAGAGGAGTTACTGTTTGGAAGGGGAATCCCCTTCCATAATCACATCACATAACCCCATGCCTTGTAACACTATGGATACCACTTCTCTTTCTAAATTTTTCAAACCAGCCCCTGCTTGCCTTAAACTCTTTCTTATCTGCATCACTCGTTGCAGGGGTATTCTTTAGAAGGTCTTCGTGCAACACCCTGGCTTTCTCACAAATAATGGCCTCCGAAACACTATCACCCCTCAACTCCTTGTCGTGTATCCAAATTAATAACAACTTTTCCACTTCTTCAAGTATTTGTGGTCTTTGTGCCGTTAATGTTCTTACTCCTTTTGCCACTTTAGCACCCATAATCTTATTTTTCTTCTTAAGTATAGTGCATATTGTTGATGTGGCTTTGTTGTACTGCCTACAAAGTTCAACAACACGTGTACCGTTCTCATGCTTCCGAATGATCTCTTGTTTCTCCTCTATTGTCATCCTCACAGGAGCTTTCTGGCCTTTATCCTTACCACTGGCTTTCTTGGGACCCATGGTGAGATATATAATAACAAATTGTATAGACAAATCACCAAAAATCCAACAAAACACTGAAAATCCGCGAGAAGAATTGATGTGGGGGTAGTCACTGAGCGCCAGACAATAATAAACTGAGGGGCGGCGGGGCGGAGGGGCGACGAACGCGCTAGGTCGGCTGTACGCGTATCAACAAACTCGCGTCCAAACTCGCCTCCCGAAGTAACCCTCGCCTTCTGAGACAAATTTTTGGAGTAAATACACCTCGCCTTCCGAAAACCTCGCATACAGGGACAATCGCATTCCGAGGTACCACTGTATATAATATTTATTTATTTATTTATTTTGGTAGCAGTCTTTCTTGTAAACATATGTTGTTAAATATGACCGAAAAAGTAAGATTAATAATTCTAACACAAATTTTCTCAATATTTCTAATGTTTCTTTTTACTGTCGATGATAATTGAAAATCAATTCTACAAAATTCATTTTTATTTCTAGTCTGACGCGACGCCTGAACGCGTTTCATAATAACTTATTACATTTTCAAAGACTTTAGTTTACACACACACAATTGTAACCTGAAAACACTAAACAGAGTTTTACTATGCTAACATTTTAAACAGTTTGTCTTTTATACTCGCATTTGGGTGAGGTGATATGTTGCAACAGTTTTGGATGAGGTGAACAAACTTTCAACACAAGACAGGACACGGAGCAATGGGTATAAATTGGATAAATGAGAGGGAAGAATGGAAGTAACTGCAAAGGGCCTATTGGCCCATATTTCCTCTTGATGCTTCTATATTGGTACGGAGTCTTGAAGTGGGTAGAATATAGTTGTGCATTAATTGGCTGTTGATTGCTGGTGTTGACTTCTTGATGTGTAGTGCCTCGCAGATGTCAAGCCGCCTGCTATCGCTGTATCTAGTTTGTTAAATACAAGTGCTGTATCACTTGTATTTAACAAACAACACAGAAATTATCAATAGATACAGCGATAGCAGGCGGCTTGACATCTGGGAGGTGCTTCATGTACTTTGGGGTGGCAGTTTTGCTCCATTACCTTTGGCCCACTGGTTCTGTTTCAGTGGACCCATTGTGGGTTGATCCAGTTTCCTGGTTCCCTGTTCCAGGGCAGATATTTCTCAGGTTGTCTGCAGTATTATTAAAGCTAGCCAGCCCATCCTACCCTCTGCCTACCCTCATGCCCATGATGTCCATAAGTATGCTGGTCTGACGACCATCATTGGTAATATGTTTAGGGCAAATATTCAGGCGCCGGGGTTTAAAAAGTTGAACTGGGTCTTGGCTGCCAGGTATCTAGTTAATGTCCCTGGTTTTCTGTGGTCATGTGTTGCATTGGGTCATGTGTTGTGGGGGTAGGTATCTTCCTTGACTTAATATCTGTGCTGCTGGCATCTCCCTGGTATGTCCCCCTTTTGTCCTTCTCTGTGAGCAATTAGCTTCAGGGAGCTCATGGGGCTCTCCTCAGAAAACCAACTTTGAATGTAATCAAACGCCAGTTTCTGGGCGAGCCCTGGAGGCTCCCTTCCCCAGTGTGTTGGCGAGTTTCATCATTATAGAATTGACCTGTGGGTGGCACAGTTGACCCAGGTCGGCTCCCTCCTTTTACCTAGGCGAGGGGGAAGGTGGGGGCCAAACTATTGGCATGGCTAGTTTCACAAAATTTTGGTTGTTTATTTTCACTGTGGGAGAGTTCTTTTGGCAATTTTGCAGCTGCGGTCTCATTTTAACCATGCAGTAGTCTGTTTTGATTCACCTATCTTTCTGGGTGCCTTCCCTTGGATGGTGGCAAAGTTGATAAACTTTAAATGAAAAGTGTTCATAGGTCATCGCTCACTGCACCTCTCTGAGGAGGGGGAAAGGGGGCAGGTTCTGGCTTGTGGTCCCTGGTAGGCCAATAGAACTCCACAACTGATGACTCTTACTCAGTGTGGTAGCTTCAGGGACCCTCTGGGGCTCACCCAGAAATTGGCATTTCAATACATTCAGTACTGTTTTTTTATTCCTTACCAATCACCTGGTATTGTGTTTGATTCTTTTCAATTACCAGAGTTCAATAACATTTTACGATAGTAATCTGTGGAATCGCATTGATCCTGATACAATAACTATTGCTAATTTTCTTAGGAGTTTGATGGCCATTGGCAACTTATCATCAGATGTTATCACCAGGCCATGGATTGGCTTGGAAGGGCAGAAGACACATTTTGCAAAAGTGTTCAGGTAGGAAAGGTGAAACTTTAAGTTATGAAGTGTCTGGCTGTACAAATAGAGAACAGTTCTCTATTAGTCTCTCTCTCTCTCTCTCTCCTGTGTGTGTGTGTCTGTGTCTCTGTCTGTCTGTCTGTCTGTCTCTCTCTCTCTCTCTCTCTCTCTCTCTCTCTCTCTCTCTCTCTCTCTCTCTCTCTCTCTCTCTCTCTCTCTCTCTCTCTCTCTCTCTGTGCACATGCGCCGTACCATACAGTAGTCTTAATAGTATCATTTCTTTAGTACCTTGATTACTTACCATCTGTGCTTGTGTAGCAGCAGCCAGTTTGTGACTGGAATAAACATTGGTACAGTGGAACCTCGGTTTTCGAATGCCCGTTTTCAATTTTTTTGGTACTCAAGCTCAATTTCTTAAAAAAAATGACTTATAATCAAAGTGGATGGTGAGGGGACTGGATGGATGGATGGTGGTAGAGGGGGACTAGATGGATGGATGTAAGAGGGGGATCGGATGGATTGTTGGGGACTGGATGGATGGCAGGTGAGTGGGCCGGGGAGGCTGGTGATGGATATGGGGGGGGGGCGCCGGGAAAGAATATCTTTCGGAAACACCAGCCTTAGAATCGTGTAAGGGAAAATACGGAGGAAAAACGGAGGATGAGTGGGTAGGCAGGTGACAATGAGTGGGTGGCAGAGTCAGTGGGTGGGGTGGGTAGCGATTGGTAGCAGAGGCGGCGTGCTTCCTTTCGACTAGGACTTACACACGAGCTGGTGTCATTACCCCCATCCCTCACCCTCCCCACTACCTCCATCCCCTCATCCCCCCACACAGGACCCCCCCCCTACCCAGCTGTACCCCTCCCAGCCATATGGAAGGTATAAATACGGTGGGCTTCCTTGCTACCAGTTGATGGATCAGGAGTCAGACTCCCTGAGAGCCTGACTTTAAAATGTAATTGTTTACTAACTGATTGGTTGTGACTGAAAGCCTGATTGACTATAAATGCGTGTCTGACAGTAAATGCCTAACTGGTTGCTACCACAACTGTGAATGCTTGACTGCCCTTGGTTTTGATTCCCTGTGACTGATCTTGACTATGAATGCTTGACTGACATGTTGTGACTGTGACTGGTTCTGACCAGCTGCCACATAACAGAGGCAGTGAAATGTGTGAAAGGAAAATCTGAACCAGTGATGCAGATATGGAAGTGTTTAAGGCGAGCAGAGGACAGTCTCACATCCTCCCTCCTCCTCACCCTCCCCATACACCAACACTGCTCCTCCCTCCCCCCCCTCCCCATCTTCCATACACCAACAAGAGTCCTCAGTAAAGGTAAAGTGCAGTAAATGTTCACTTCATTTATTTATGGTTTATATTTATACCTGATTGTTTTGTGTATGAAAAATAGGAGTAGAATTCTGCATAAAATGTATTTTTAAGTTATATTTTTGGATGTGTGGAACAGATTAATTCAATTTACATTATTTCTTATGAGAAAATTCCTTTTGGTTTTCGAACTGTCTCTGGGAACGGATTAAATTAAAAAATGGAGGTATCACTGTATAAAATTTAGTGAGACATTTTAGAACTTAAATTTTTGGTAAACGTTTTTCAAGCTCCTTCTGATACAAATTTTTATAAAAACTATTTTCAGCTAATATTAATGTGACAGGTCCCATGATATTAAAATACTAAATAATTAAATTTGTGTTCATATTCTTATTGCAGGTGTGAAGAACGTAGTCGTGCCCTAGAGTTGTGCTCATGGGGGTTTGAGAACGAGACGGTACTTAATAGCTTTTTATCGCAGTTAGAAGCCGCTGGAAATCACACTCGGGCTGCAGCAGTTGCAGTGTTTAACCAGCGTTTGAAACAAGCAATATTGATTTTACAAAGAGGAGCTTCTAATAAGAAGTTGCCAGCTCTTAACTCAACAGCAATGGCTCTCTCAGGTACATTACTAGGACCACAGTATATGCCAAGTGTAATGAGTGGATATCTTTTAGTTTTCTGGTAGATAATCCCCTAACTGTGTTTTTAAATTAGGATACATTTTCTGGTGTGTATAACACAAATTCTTATGGTATTATAAAACATTTCATGAGAAAATTACTTAAAAATTCTAATACTGATAGTTTAAAAATGAGTTGAAGAATTTTGATGACAGTGTCAGTTTCTGGGTCTTGGAGGCTGGAGTGCCAGGCCTGTTCCCAGAAGTGTTGACAGGAGAGTTCAGATGCCGCACGTGAATTTATATTAACCCTATTTATTCGATCCTGTTATTTTTTTTATCCGTTATTTATTCAATTATCGTCATTTTCTGTGGAGGAGCCCCGTCAGCTCCCTGGAGCTATTGGACTGATATTAGCTAATATTAGTACAGGACTTCAGTCATATGAAGTTGTCATGCCTACCGGGGACCAGTAACCAAAACATGGTCCCTTCAGAGAGACAAAGGGAGTAATGGCCTATGAAACTCACATGTATGAAAGTATTCACGTCTGTCATTGACCGGGGTTGAGCACCCAGAAAGGTAGGCGCTTCAAAACAGACCCCACCTGGTTGAAATATTGCAACCTGAGACCGAACAGAGGCAATAAACTCCCCCAAAGAAAAACACGCTAACAAGCAACACAACATCACATCACATGCCGCTCATTCGCATCGACACCCCCTCCCTCCTGCGCTTCCGGGAGGGGGAGAGGGGGGGTCCCAGCCCACTGAGCCGGCAGCTGGACTGGCAGTTTGTCTGCAGAAGCTATACGGGGTGGACACCTGCCCTGGCCTCGATTACCTGGTGCCACACCACACGACGAGCACACAGTTGGTGAACTGTGATACGCACAGTTCCACGCACGCACGCACAGATAGTGCACAGACCGAGGCATTGATGGTACCTGCACCATGTTGCACAGAGTCAAGGTTCGCCTCCAAGAGGACCTCATTCCCACTACGGCCGAGATCTTAGAAAAGGTCTCTACCATCGGAAATGTCTCACCAGCTGACACCGTGGAGACCAGAGAAGGTGTTCACCTTCTCTTCTCCAGCGACAATGACCTGGAGAAACTAGTCGCCGCCTCCACCACGACCACCCTGCTAGACGCCGGCCTCACCCTCACTCCTCCTAGATGCTACCTGGCAGACAGGACTGTGCCAGACACATCAGCACATGGATCTCCGAACGCAGCGACAACGAAATCCTCACCAGCATCAATTCCCTGAACCCGATGCTGACCACGGTAGTGGTCAAGATCAGCACCAACTCCAACAACACCCGCAGACCCACACTGCGGGTGTGGGTCTGCGTGTCAGTGTGTCCACACTGTGGACATCAGTGTCTGTGGAGGTCTCAGTGTGGGTCCACACTGAGCAGCAGAAGAGATGAAAATCATAGAGAAAATAGTAGTGATTTTAGAAGAATAGGAAAATATGAGAAAGACAAGAACCGCCCCTTAAGGGTGATGTTTAATGGAGTGAAAAACATGATAGAAGTGCTTAGAAATGCCAGGAAATTGCAGAGTGATGAGGTTGGCAAACTTTGGTCAATAAGACAAGACCTCTCCAAGGAAGACAGAGAAAAGCTGAAAATGAACCTAATTGAGGCAAAACGTCTAAATGGAGATAGAAATGAAGAAGACAAATTCTTTTTTCTACAAAGTGACAGGGACTGGAAAGCTTGTGAAATGGTACATAAAAACAAAGCAACAAGATCAGTAGTGGAAGGGGAAGTAAAGAGCAAAGGAAAGGGGAACATGTTCTTGAAAATTGTATATACCAACATAGATGGGGTGAGGTCAAAAACTTTGGAGTTGCAAGATATAATCCAGCTTAAGGTCCCAGATATTGTCGCATTATCAGAGACGAAACTTAAAGGAAATATAATAAATGAAGTCATATTCCCAAGAGGCTATTCAGTTTGGAGACGTGACAGGAAAACTAGGAAGGGAGGAGGAGTGGCTGTACTGGTGAAAAAACACCTGAAGGTAAGAGAGTTAATATTTGAAAACCCTCGAGATATTGACATAATGGCATTGCAGATCTGGAATCAGGATGATAAGCTGATAATATTAAATGCCTACAGCCCACCAGCAAGCAACACATGGACAAAGGAAGAACTGGATGACAAACAAGAGGGCCTCATAATGGTCATGAGAGATATTATTGTACAAGCAGATAAGGATAAATCACGACTGTTGACACTGGGGGACTTCAACTTTAAAGCAATAGACTGGGAGGCCTATGAAGCAAGAACGGAGGACTTTTGGACATGCAAATTTGTGACCCTCATTCTGGAGACATTCTTGTATCAACAGACAAAGCAGGCCACAAGAATGAGGGAAGGAGATGTATCATCAGTACTCTATCTAGTATTCACCAAGAAAGAAGAAGAGATATTTTACATCCAGTATCTTCCTCCCTTGGGAAAGAGTGATCACGTCCTGTTAGACATTGATTATGCTTTAAGATATCATCTAGAAGAAAATGGGGACATTGAAACAGTTGATAAACTCGATTTAAGGAGAGGTCACTATGGGGAACTTCAAAATTTTTTTAATGAGTGTAATTGGACAGACTTGTTGCTAGGCAGGGAAGTAAATGAAATGTATGGCAAATTTTTAAAAATATACGAGGAAAGCACACAAACATTCATACTAAAACAGAGATGCAGGGCCAGAAAACAGGATTGGTTCAACAGAAATTGTGAGAGGGCCAGAGACCAAAAGACACAAAAATGGAATCAGTATAGGAAGAGGCCAAACCCCCAAACATACCAGCGATACAAAGATGCGAGAAACAACTACACGGCAGTAAGGAGAGAGGCAGAAAGAAATTTTGAAAAAGGGATAGCTGATAAATGTAAAACAGAACCGGGCCTGTTTTACAAATTCATAAACAACAAATTGCAGGTAAAGGATAATATCCAGAGGTTGAAAACGGGAAACAGATTCACAGAAAATGAAAAGGAAATGTGTGAAACATTAAATGAAAAGTTCCAAAGTGTGTTTGTACAAAATGAAATCTTCAGAGAACCAGACACAATAAGAATTCCAGAGAATAACATAGAGCGGATAGAGGTGTCTAGAGATGAAGTGGAAAATATGCTAAAGGAGCTCAGTAAGAACAAAGCAGCTGGCCCAGATAGCGTTTCACCGTGGGTTCTGAGAGAATGTGCATCTGAGCTCAGCATTCCACTTCACCTGATCTCTCAGGCATCCCTGAGTTATCTTGAGTGTGCACACAGGTCCTCCCTGTGTACAGGAATCGTAGCAGATGTGTGGAAACAGGCTTACATAGTTCCAATCTACAAAAGTGGCAGCAGGGAGGACCCCCTCAATTATAGACCTGTATCATTGACAAGTGTAATAGTAAAAGTATTGGAAAAACTAATCAAAACTAAATGGGTAGAACACCTGGAGAAAAATGATATAATATCAGACAAACAGTATGGTTTTCGATCTGGAAGATCCTGTGTATCGAATTTACTCAGTTTCTAAGATCGAGCCACAGAGATATTACAGGAAAGAGATGGTCGGGTTGACTGCATCTATCTGGACCTAAAAAAGGCTTTCGACAGAGTTCCACATAAGAGGTTGTTCTGGAAACTGGAAAATATTGGAGGGGTGACAGGTAAGCTTCTAACATGGATGAAAAATTTTCTGACTGATAGAAAAATGAAGACAGTAATCAGAGGCAATGTATTGGACTGGAGAAATGTCACAAGTGGAGTACCACAGGGTTCAGTTCTTGCACCAGTGATGTTTATTGTCTACATAAATGATCTACCAGTTGGTATACAGAATTATATGAACATGTTTGCTGATGATGCTAAGATAATAGGAAGGATAAGAAACTTAGATGATTGTCATGCCCTTCAAGATGACCTGGACAAAATAAGTATATGGAGCACCACTTGGCAAATGGAATTTAATGTTAATAAATGCCATGTTATGGAATGTGGAATAGGAGAACATAGACCCCACACAACCTATATATTATGTGATAAATTTTTAAAGAATTCTGGTAAAGAAAGAGATCTAGGGGTGGTTCTAGATAGAAAACTATCACCTGAGGACCACATAAAGAATATTGTGCAAGGAGCCTATGCCACGCTTTCTAACTTCAGAATTGCTTTTAAATACATGGATGGCGATATACTAAAGAAATTGTTCACGACTTTTGTTAGGCCAAAGCTAGAATATGCAGCAGTGGTGTGGTGACCATATCTTAAGAAGCACATCAACAAACTGGAAAAGGTGCAAAGACATGCTACTAAGTGGCTCCCAGAACTGAAAGGCAAGAGCTACGAGGAGAGGTTAGAGAAACTAACTAGAAGACAAAACAGAAGACAGAAGAAAAAGAGGTGATATGATCACTACATACAAAATAGTAACAGGAATTGATAAAATCGATAGGGAAGATTTCCTGAGACCTGGAACTTTTAAGAACAAGAGGTCATAGATTTAAACTAGCTAAACACAGATGCCGAAGAAATGTAAGAAAATTCACTTTCGCAAACAGAGTGGTAGACGGTTGGAACAAGTTAGGTGAGAAGGTGGTGGAGGCCAAGACCATCAGTAGTTTCAAAGCTTTATATGACAAAGAGTGCTGGGAAGACAGGACACCACGAGCATAGCTCTCATCCTGTAACTACACCTAGGTAATTACACTTGGGTAATTACTGAAAGTGACCTTCAGCACGGTCATCACAGCGACCCACCCCAAAGAACACAGCCTTAAGTGCGCCGGAATTATGATTCCACCTGCCAACATGACCAAGGAATGATACACAGAGCTCCGCCAGTGCTTCAAGTGCTACTGGTACTCCCACTACACCAGTAAGTGCACCGAGCAAGTGCAGAAATGTAGTATCTGTGCCCAGGAGCATCACTACACAGCCTGCACATCCTCCCATTGACACTGCCTACTCTGCGATGGCCCGCACGCTGCAGTT